TTTTATCAGTTCGGTCGACTTTTGATATAATTATCTTTTTAATTAGACCAATATGTTTCGACGCAGTAACAACAAAAACAAAATGATTATATTTTTCATGCTATTACAGTGTAAAAAATTAATTGCGCACACTCTCAAGCTAATGTATTGCCTCATTTGGTAAAAGGTCAATTAAAAAGATCTATTTCAAGGCCAGTATTTTTTAATTTTTTGTGTCTATTGGGAACACAAATTTGAGGCTCTAAATCATAATAATAAAGAAAATAAATAAATAATTTCCTATTCATTTTCATTTCATTTTTAAAAGGGCTCTCATAAAGATTAAAAACATACTTAATGAATGAGTGATGCTAATAATAGCAACATTTTCGCTATGAATTAAGGAAAAAAACGAAAAGATCATTTGACAAAAAAGGCATGCTTGAAAATGTAATTGATAGTAAAAATGAGTTTATAAGCATTTTAAAACAGTGCAGAAACGAAAATGTGTTTTCCTTGAAGTCTGTGTGTTAAATTGAGAATTTTAAAAAAAATTGAGATCTAGGTATACAACAATTATAATTTTATACTTGAGTTTTCATTGTTTTTTTCTAACTGTTTATTATGATATTTTAACAATAAAAACTGCCACGCTGCTCAGTCGGTTGAACACTCGCTCCGTGATAGGAAGGTCATGTGTTCGAAACAAATCCGCGACTGACCTTAGTTGATAAAAAAAAATTAGGTAGCAATTGCTCCTTCATCAAGCGCTCGGCATTTTGAAGTGAAAATGAGGGTCCATCTGATGGGACCTTTAAAACCGTGTCACGACAGGCGTTGGAACGTTAAAGATTCCTACTCAAAAAGACGCTGATGGAAAATCTAACAACCAAACTTTTTGATACACACGGTGACTAACTTTTCAATCGTCAACTTCCCTTACGTATGCAGCAATATACTAATACCTTCATCACCTGAAAGCAGGATTTATATATCTCAGTTGACTTGATAGGTAAGAGCATGCTCTAATATATAAAGCAAGGTAAATCAGTGACAAACAAGTTGCTAAAACAAGAATATCAGAAGTCTCGTTAAAAAAATCATTTCGTAAGTTCCATGCTCGAAACAATGACTTAGTCAGCATATTTATCATTAAGTCAAATGTTGACAGACGTTTTTCATGCTAATTTCAAAGTCATTATATATACACAAGATTGTCGACGGATTTTCCCTATATTTCCCGATCATGGCAAGGAGCACACGGTGGGTGTGACCAGTCGGCGGGGGCCATGACACCTGATCCCACCTCTTATGTTTTCGAGGTCTGTGGTTGTCTCTGCTCTCATTTTGTAATATTATACCTTTAGAATTTTGTTCTTATACAAATCTATACAAAAAAGTCTAATAATTCCAATGTTTTCTTGAGGCTGCATAAAAAATCGATGTTTGACCGCTGAGTGAGATGTTGGACCTGTCGATGAGATGTTGGACCGCTTTTGTCACACTATGGGCGGAGCTTAATCTCATTAATATTTGATTCGTTGGTGTTTAACAGTGACGGATGTGAGGTTTACATCACGGAAGACAGTACAAGTTATATGTATATATACTGGGCAAAATAAGTTAGGGATCATATTTTTACACAAGAATAATATTTCATACCCATGAATTTATGTGACAACAAGGCTTAAGTAATATTAAAAACATGTCATTAACACGATTCGATACTTAAGTCACACGTGTTTAATGAGTTTTGGGACATATTGGTCAAGAAAGTACGTGGCGTTAAAAAAGTAAGTGGAACAATGGAAGCATAGAAGTATCAAAGAGGGTTTTCTTTAGTGAACATAAGAAAATTTCAGTATATCTGGCCAGAACTGGTGATAAGACGCTATGAGGAGGCATATGAGTATGGACGAACACTCCATGGCAGCAGGGATGCTGGAAGCTGGCAAAACGCACGTTGCAGAAAGACTTTATCTTTCTCAAAGCGGAATTAACGGTTATGAAACCGATATTTAGAGGCAGAAAATTGTCAAAAAAGGCTAAAATGGGGACGTCCATGGTTAACGGCAGTACGTGAGGATCGTTATTTGGCCAATTTTGCTGAGACGCACCGTTTCCAAAGTGCTCTTAAGCTAAATACTGGGCATCAGAGAGCAACGGACAGACGGATTTCTACTCAAACAGTTTGAAACAGACTTCAGGAAGCAAATCTCAAGGCTTGCCGACCGTCTGTACGTCCTGTATTAAAATAAGAGTGCCGCAGAAATCGACTACAGTGGGCAACGGAACACAAAAATTTGGCAATAACGTCATTGGTGTTCTGTTCTCTTCTCAGACGAGTCGCGATTTTGTTTTGACTTCCATGATGACAGAAGACGTATTTGGATTGCAAATGGGGAAAGATATGCTGATTGTGTCATTTCTGAGCAATACAGAGTAAATGGGGGGTTTGGTGATGATTTGTGCAGGCATAAGTATTGACTGCAAAACTGATCTCCACATTATTGAAGGCAACCTGACAAGTTTAAAATACCGAAATAATATTCTTCATCCTATTCTTAGACGTATGTACTCTGGGGGAGGATTTCATCTTAATGGACGATAATGCTCGACCTCATAGAGTCCGAATCGTAAACACGTACATGGAAAGTGAAACAACTTAGCGTATGGACCCGCCAAGTCGTTTTCTAGACCTGAAGTTAATTGAACATGCCTGTAACATTCTTAAGCAACGCATTTCAGTTCGTCTTACACTTCCCCAAAATCGACGGGAGCTTCAGACAGCATTGCAGGAGGAATGGCAACAGATCCCTCAGGCTAGCCTTGGACGGCTGATGGGCAGCATGGGTCTGCGCTGCAGGGCCTCGCGGGGAGGTCATACAAAATACTGGCAATCATTTTAGTGACGTAATTTGACTCTTCTGAAAAGAATCTCATTTTCAGGTCTACCCCCAACATGCCGAATTCTAAAGTGACCGTAATGAACAATTCGTAGCGTGTGTTCTAACAAATTTATCACATCCAATGTTTAATTTTCACTTTTTAAATATGAAATATGATACTAAAATTATAACTGCATTCTGTTTTCTATGATACAGTATTTGTAAAACATATTTAATTTGATGATCCTTAACTTGTTTTGTTCAGTATATGTCAAAAAATTAAATTTAAAGGTACAGCTAGCTGTATAACATTTATTGGCTGTGTTCTCGGGTAGCAATTAAGATAAAAAGGTAATTAAACAAGGTTGCAAAAGAATGCATGTAATAAATATAAATAATTTACTTTTAAAAATGATCAATTATGTACGAAAGTAACACATATTTTTATATTTAAGCTGTTAACCAGTATTTATGGAAAGTTAATTAGTATACATATAATGGCACATTCGAGCACTTACCTTTTGAACATAATTATCATGAGACCCAATTTTTTAAAAGATATTTTCAACACATTTTAATTGTACTTTATCTTTGCTCTTGTTGTTTGCTAAAATTATCAAAACATCTCTCTCTCTCTCTCTCTCTCTCTCTCTCTCCATATAATATATATATATATATATCTCATCTGATTAATATGCAATAAGATCAGAAACAATTTAAGATATTTACTTAAGGAGAATAATTCAGTGTAATGAAACAAGTTTTCATTATTAAAATTATTTTCACAAATAACTTATTACATCATTTTAAAGAGCTGATACAACATATAAAAAAGCCATCTACCTTTGAAACAAGCAAGCCTGAAATTGGATAAAAGATTTGTGTAAATAATTCAAAATTTAATGTTTTTCTATTAATCGATTGTTGTTTAGTAAGATAAATGTTATTCATGAGGATACAGAGGCAATTAAAAAGAGACGATAAATAAGATCTCTGTGGACTTTTAGTTCGGAAACAAAGATTTATTATTAATTGCCCAACATTCAAGACGTAATTCAATTTGTTAATTAGAACAAGGTAAAAGTTTATTAAATTCTTTGATGTTTCAAAATTGAAATGAATAAATACTTACAGTAAAAATCTTTGTTTTAGAACCAGTTTAGGGTGAAAATATTGAACAAGTTTGAAGATGAAGAAATTTTATATTGTATTTTAAAAGAATATTTAATAAACATACATGTAATTGCTCTTAATAAAATGGAATGCAAACTTCATGTTTTATTATTTATTGTTTTTTTTTAAACTATTTTTTTCCAAGAAATACTTTATATATGGAAAATTAAAGGATATTGCAGATGCTTTTTAATTTAGGCATCTTTAAAACATAAAGGTAGCAATGTCGAAATTTCGTTGGTGCCTTATAATACGCTTTAAAGAAACGAGAATTCTGTCATTGCTTGCTCATTAGTCTTTAATTTGATATTACATGTGTATAAGTTTGAAATGAAATATATGGAGATAATGAACAGTAAGTATTCAAGCTGAAAAGTCCATTAAATAAAACGAATTAGGCGTATTGGAAACACTGATTTAAATTTGAAGGAAATTAAAAAAAACTTTTCATTCCAAAAATAGAAATGTTTATCACGTTTTGAACAATTATCAACATTTATTATGTAATATGTATATCATTTTAAACAAAAAAATCTTTTAAACAATCTGAAAATTAACAAGTATATATTTTTTTATCATCTATATGTTGTGTGAAAAAAGTGCATATTATTTTCGGAAATATAGAACAATTTCCAACATTAAGTGTAAATAATTTTTTTTTGATATTGTACAAAGTTCAATCTTATTTAGGCTATTGTTTTACAGAGAAACTATTAGATGACTTTGCATGTGTCAGACCTTTACTTTATATGTGTTTACGGGTAAACGGTAGCTGCATCGCAAATGTTTAAATTTTTTCCTTTTTGCCAGAAACTTTGAAAAAAAAAGTAATCTACACCCATTCATTCTTATTCACTTACACAAATGTGAAACTGGTAAAAGAAAGAAATAGTCCTTCAATTCAGATAAAAATTATTTAATAGATTTTACATCTACATAAAGTAAAATAAATAGCAAGAGTCATAGTTAACAAAAAATCTATATACAGTAAATTTATTTTAAATGCAATGATTTATATACATTCAATTTACAAAAGTATTTGTACGAGTCGTTGTGAGAATGTAAATACCACCTTCCTCTCTTTTTTCAAATTAAAAAAAAATTTATGAGGGTAAATTTCCAATTGACGATTGAAGTCCAAACATCCGTGTCAAAAGTGGATTCTGGGCAGACGGAAGTGATGTGCTGGCTGAGCGTAAGTAATATGGATCAATGGAGGACAGAATTCTTGCCGTCTGCTGGTGATATGGGGACCAGTATGTGCTAGAATGCATCATTCGTTGAAAAGCAGTATAATTCCCTGCCTCTGCAAGAAGTTCCAGACCAACTGCAGTTTGGCGCTTCCACTTTGTCCTAAAATAATGTATAAGAACATTAAATATAGATATTTTTCTGTAGTATCAATGAACTTTAATTTATAATAAACAAAAATCTGTGATCTCATTTATATTCTATTGAATTTTTTTTCTAAATTTAATCTATCAAATACCACAAAAACCTTTAAAAATTAGCCTTTGATATATTAGTACCGGGGAAAAAGTAGAATTGCAAACGAGACACTAATCTCCATGTGTTTCACTTAACACATCAAATAATGGCTATGTGACAAGATTAGATTAAGTGGTAAACAGTTTTGCAAATTTCCCAATGCAAATGGTGCCGAGGGGGAGAAAGCCTGCCTGCGTGAAGACCATCTTTAATTCCCTAGTAATTTACCACTGTCATTTCGATTGGGCGCCTTCCGTAACACGAGCGATGGTGCGTATGAAATGCACAATTAAGATGCGCCGATTCTCTTTCTGTCATTACCATGATTTCCGATTTATTTTAATACGGCTAATTTGTTAATACAAGCAAACTCCAAACAAACCAGAGAGCGTGTGAGATAGAATAAATAGGAGCATAACAATGACCCTCTCATATTTCTAACATGCATTCCAGACATTTATTCTTTATTTCAGAATAAAGCTTTGTATTTCCCAAAAATGAATTTATTAACAAAAGGAGCTGCGGAATATTTTGTCCTTTTCAAAATATTTTTTATTAAAATCTTTCTTCTAACTTTGAGGGAAGAAACAACCATCTTGAATCTTGCGGGGATGTTTAGTTTCATAAATTGAAGAAACAATACTTTTTATGAGGCAAAGCATCACAATTTTTTTTAAAATAAGAAATCTAGTATAAATCTTTAAAACTATTAATTACAAGGGAATATTCGTACCTTCTGTTTTGATACCATGTCTTTACTTGGGTGTCCGTTAAGTTTAGTTTAGCTGCTAGTTCCATCCTATCTTGGACACTTAAATATTTCTGTCGCTCAAAGCTCTTTTCTAAGCAATTCAGTTGATGATCCGTGAAAGCGGTTCTAGCTTTTCTTGGCTTCTTGTGCTTGGAGCATCCAGCAGCTTCGATGTCCTCATCATCTAGATTTTCACATTCTGCATAAAATGAAAAAAAAATTAATGTTAGAAAAAATAGTCCGTATTTATCGTGTAAAAATAATAATGATCTATTAATATTTATTTAAAAAAAAAAACAAAGAGAAAAGAAATTTTAAACGTTTTGAAATAATTGTAAAAATTAAAAAAATATATATAACTGAATGAAAAACATACAAAAATATTTCGTGCGTTTATAGATAAATTATATCAAATTTCACTTTTATTTCGTATATTTAAATGAAATGAGCTAGCATAAGTAAGCCAACTCATTTTTATTTTATTTTTGAAAAAAAATATCATTCAAGACAGAAAATTAATTTTTACTTCATTTTCAAAAGCAAATATATACAATATTTAAACATAAGAGAGTTCTTTTTGAGCAAATGTTTCCCTTTTTTGAATAAACTTAGACAGAAAGGTTCAGTAAATTGACAGTTACATGCATGATTATGCCTCGGGAAGTTCCTATTCAGCTGCTCAGATGTAAATGTCACTCTTAATCGTATTTAGCAAGCCAAAAATATGGAAAAATGTCAATTAAATCATTTTTTTATTTAATTAATATTATGATTATTTGCAATTTTAATAAATAATAACCGGCATGATTGTTCCGTTATATAAAATTTTTTTCAGGTAAATAGAAAGTTTAATAAATCATACAGTTTATTGTTTTAACAATTGAAAAAGAAACGCATTCCCTATCATTTCTTTGTGACTGAAGCATACATGAATATGTTATTGGGGCATAAAAATCTTGTATTTGACCCTTCTGGTTTAGAGGTACCTTCTGAATAATTAAAATGAGACCTTTTAACGGGACTATTCGCTAACATACGATCCACTTATCGTATTTCCTTTATTTCGGCCATTAAGCGCGTTTAACGTCTAGAGAGCTCGTAAAGGTGTTAGTTCTTGTGTTTAATTATTCATGCCCGCTAAATGCTGTCTAAAACTACTAAAGAAAAACTGCGCTCCGGGGACGGTTTAGTGTATGATATTTTTCACAAATGAGCAATATGGTAATATATCCCAATTCATTTATCTTCATCAATAATAGAAAATACAGGTTTGTGTCGTATAGTGGCAATCATAGGAAATTTAATATTTTCTGTCTGTTTGTGTTTGAAGTCTGGGATTTATTGTAATATTTTGCCAAAATGCATGAGGAAGTAATACATTTTTTTTTGAAAGGAAAAGAATTAGGATGCGGAAAATCATCTACAATTCTTGTAGCTAATGCATCAACTTTTCAAACTACTCGTAATTGTTTTTAAACATTGTTTTTTTTTGAAACATTAAAAGCAGATGATAAATAGAATAGTTTTCAGCTACTTGAATGAAAACAAATAAATATTTAAAGCACAGTTTAAGCACTATATTCTTCATTCTCTTCCAAGTACAAAAATTAAATAATAAATAAAACAAATAAATATCAATATATATCTACAAAAATTAGGCGATTTTTTCCCTTTGCAAATCATAAAAATAGATAAAGGAATATAAATAAATGAATTGATTATAAGCAACAATTTCAAACCAAAATTTTCTCTAGTATTCTTTTCTTCTCTCTCGCACTTATATAACTAAAAAAACAATCAAAACGCTTAAATTCTTACGTTCGGTTTGAGAAACGGGCGAAGATGGTTCTGACGCCAAATCTGTGTCATCATAGGACCTTTTAATACCGTACTTTCTTTTAACAAGTTCATCAAAAGATTCTGCATTGAAAGGAGTACGGCTAACTTGAGCGTACACCCCAAGTCTTTGTTGTGCGGTATCGTCGCTGCACATTGCACTGTCATCTCTACCCGGTGGTATCCTAGTCCTGTCTGAGGATAGAATATCTGTGATGAGGAATGAAGACTTTGCTCGATTTATAACAGGGGAGGTCAGATTTTCATTTCTCGAACTGCTTCCAGTTTTAGTTGTTTCTGTCTCATTTTTATTAGAACTGTCTTCTTCCAGTCTGTCACTACCAAACAGTCTTTCTTCTGCTTCGTCTTTTGATGTTTCAGGTTTAACACTTTTTGTAGAATTCTCCATTGTCTTGTTATATTCTTCTTTAATCATATAAACACAATGTTGTCATCAAAAGTTTCAAATTATATTAATAAACATTAAAAACACTTCATCATTTGGCAAGTCAATTCAATAATATCATAAACACAGGATTATCTGTTAAAATGATTTTCTAGGTGTGCAAATCGTCAACATATAATCACTTTTGAAAACAAATCCCTCTCAGCATGCCTGTAATATTCTAGGTATCCGTTTCGTGTCCAATAAAAGATGTGGGTGGGAACATATGATGTAAATGAGGGCGTGTCCTCGCAACAGCTTATTCCAGCGAGGTATTGATTTTCTTCTGAAAGATGGCGATCAGGTCTTAGTTGGTAGTGAATAATTCTATTCTATAGATTATAAGAAAAGCTTAGTAACACTAGAATTGGATCAGTTGATATGGGCCTTCAAAAAGACAAAGTTGCCTTTAAAATCCAGAGACGTTTATGCAATTTCTTTGTAAATTTGAAAAGATTGGTATTTTTTACTTTCAATTTCATACTTGATCAGTGATTCAATGTATTATTTAGGAGAATCTAAAGTTTCCAATATCCCAATTGTTGAAATCATACAGAGTGTAATTTGCTAATTAGTGAGTAATACAAATCATTTCGTAACCATTTTTTATGTATGTTATCTTAATTTTTTAGGTGAATAAACAAACATATTCTATCTCTTTCAGGAGAAGAAAATAAATTAAAAAAAAAAATCATGTGTTTTCAAAAAGAATAAAAACATTCTTGCATACCGCTAATTACCTATTCCAGCAATATAAAGCGAATTGAAAGTGTTTTCATGACAATGATATTGAGAAAGTATTGTTGAAAATATTTAAATGAAACAACTTTGAGCAATTATTAAGCAAATTGAATTTAAAACAGAGACTTATTTCTTTTATTTTAATCTTTAACTAATAAAACGAAGAAAGGCTTCAAGCTTTATCATCGATCTCTTTGTTGTTTGAAGATTCTTTTCTAATGATGCACCAAGGGCAATTTTGTCAGAAGGACACAACAAAATAAAATTCTGTGCAATTAAATTATTTAAGAGTGTAATTATGTTTTTCTTATTGTCATGTTTTAAATTTCGTTTACTTTCATTTAACAAAAGAAATTCACAATTTACCCCAAGTTGACAAAAATGAAAGCCTCGGAGGAACGCTAATTACTCTTATTAGAAGAGTATTGTGTCCATAATGACGAATGCAATAGGAACTTTGTAGTGTCTTTTTTTAAGTTAAAGGTTTATTCAAAGAACAAAAAGGGAAGACAATTAAAACGACAAGACGATCCAATTCGCCCCTAAAGTATCAAGAAAAAATTGAAATTGGTAAGAGATGTAGTTCGAGTTTTATAAAACACGTTGAGTAATGTTTTAAAAGACACATTTCTTGTTGTCAGATTTTATTTCTTTTAATGTAAAAATGTATTGTTTTAATTTTTTATATTCAATCGTGTAAATATATCTTACCTAGCATTTAAATACATAGTTTAAATTTGAACCTTGAATAATTTAATGTTATTGCCTCAAAATTCAACCATTGCTTTAGATTCAAACAGTGAGGTTTATTAAGCCTAAATAACAAGTCTTTTTAAGACCTTGTCTAACTAATTATGAAAATAAATGAACAATAACGAGACAATTTATTTTATGACTAGTTAGAAACCGTTGTGTCTACAGTGCAGCCTTCTTTATTATGAAGTCTTTGTTAAAGCATTAAAAAAGAAAACGATTCAGTGATCATTTTGCTGTAAGTTTATTTAACCTGACTAACATCTGACGTGGCCAGGGGCAGCTGTCGCAATGTTACTCTAAAAACCTCAACAACAAAAGGTGGCCTCCATATATATACAATATATATACATACATATTATCTCACAAAACAATATCGAAAGTACAAAATGTGCATACAAGTACATATAATATTAACAACAGTTTGCAGAGAGATTGCAGAGGAATAAAACTTAACAAATTAAACATGGTTTTCTAAAAAAAAAAAAAAGAACAGGATAAGTGACATTTGTAATCAAGTAACATTTTTCCTGATCTAGATATGCGTCATATTTCTCCCTTTTTAATGAAAAAACTTTCAACTTACTATAAACTTTTCGAAAAACCTAAACTAATGAGAAAACGATCTTGGCAATAATTGAAATGTAATGCAAAATCTTATTATTAACATCTGAATCATGTTTCTTTATGGGGGGCAAATGAAAAAATAAACCGTTTTCACTTGAATGGTGTATATTTATTGCATAAATACACTCTAATAGAGCAATTTTACGCTCCATTTGTAAAACGATATTTTATTAAACTTTGTTTCTGAGTAGATTGAGAAAAGGTGCTCCAAACATGTTCATCAAAAACGGCTGTTTGTGATATCTTCTTGGCACAGCAATTTGATTTGCATAAATGATGGACCAGTGTTGAAATCAAGCACAAAATCGCTTTTCTGAAAGCTTTGTTACGTAGAGGAGAAAAAACGTTTGATTTTTTTAAACATGGAAGCAATAAATTTCGGTAATGCTCGATGATAGCTAAAACGATCTGCGGTAGGGAAGAATTGACTGGTAGCCATGTTATTATATTAAATCCAAATTAAGATTCCAATAGGTTTTATTAATAAGACGTGGAATTTATAAATGCATTTCATTTAACATTATTTCCATTTCATTTTTATTCAATTAGGAATTAAAAAAAAATTCTAGAGATTGCTTCTTTGTCGATAAAGTTTTCAATCTTCAAAATAATACATATGATCGAAACTATGTTGTTTAACGTCTCAATCAACTCTTTATAACCCAAATAAAGACCTTAAAATATACGGTGAGAGGCTGTTCAATTTGACCTTTATCACAATCTAAAACTCGGGGCTTTGAACAATGGAGCTCCGTTGTCGCCAATACCTACCGTAAAAAAGGGCATAATTTTCAAGGCCTCAGACATTCACTTCAAACAACGAGAGCTCAGTGAATGAAGATTTAAGTGAATGAAGATTTAAAAATTACTTACGATGATAACGTCTTGAGTTTAACACAGGGTCGAGAATTGAACCTAGGACCTTTCGATTAAGATACAAACACTTTACCTTTGCTACCACGACCGACCGAAACTATAAATATGTAACATTTATAAAGTACTTAACCGAGAGTAAATAAAGGACTTTTCTATTTAAAGCATACTTTTAAATTAGGAGCAATGTCAAGGTAAGTACTAATTTGAAAAATAAAACTGATGTATGAGCAATTCAGAATAATAATCAGGTATGATATTTTTCAGCTGACAACAAATAACACTTCTGCTATATAGACAGCATTAAAAAGCGGAGGAAAATCATTTTGAAGGGTTAGGGAGGGTCATTTCAATTAACGTTTTTATTTCTGTCCCATAAAACATATTAAATTGTTAAAAAAGGAACGTGTTATCTGAAATGGCACTATCGATTAACGACAATTGGCAGAAAGACATCGAATCAATTTATCTGTATGTTCCTCTTCACATATTTATAACCTCATTAAATGGAATAAAGGATTCAAACAACTTTGTTATGAGGTGTAAAAACAAACAACACTTGATCTCAGAACGAAACAATATCATAACCTGCCATGTATTCAGTTAGATGATTCATTAAATCCTTTATGCCAATGCTGTTGAATTAATTTTTCATCAAAAAAAATTTAATTGATAGTATGCAATTGTCTTTTCAGACTTGGATCCGTCTGAGTGAGACGTATTTTTCTGAATTCATCAAGCGAAAAAATCCTTTTCTTATTTCAAACGCCTCCATCTTTAAATTTTAATGACTACTTGCACTTCTTGGTATTAAGTAAATTGCAATATTAATCCGAATTGTTTTTTTATGACATTTGAATTCTATTTTATATAATGAAATATATGGATAAAGGAACAGTATTCAAGCTCAAAAGTCCATAACACACTACAAAATAGGAGCAAAACAAAAACGGACCTCCAAAACATCAGAGGTGGGATCAGGAGTGAACATACCCTGCCGACCGGTCACACCCGCTGTGTGCTCCTTGTCATGATGAAGAAATAACGGGAAATAACAGAAAAAGTGAAAATAATAGACTAACAAATAATATGAAAAACTCAGTCAGCATTTGACTCAATGATAAATTGTATTTGCTGACAAGGTCATTGTATCATGCATAGAGGTTATAAAATAATGACTTTAAACGAGACTGTTGATATTCTTGTTTCATCAACTCGATTGTCAATAATTTACCTCGTTTTAGAAATTGTACATGCTCAGAGCAAGCTTTTGCCTATTGAATCAACTGCGAGATATGACCTCCATATGCATGTGTTGAAGGTACATGTATATTGCTGCATAAGTAAGGAAAACTATGATTGAAAAGTTAAAGTCATCTTATTTATTATAGGGCTTGGTTGTAAATTATAAATAAATTGAATAAAATTATAAATAATCTGAATAATCGGGGCGTCTGTTATATTTTCTTAATCATTAGTTTAAGAAAAAATAACTAAATTAGTACTTTTTATCATTTCTTTCTACGGCCTGTATTAAATAAACTTTAATAAAATGACATGATCGTATTTCAATGAATCCATTTCAAATTCTTTTTCATCTAAATATTTATACTTTATTTAGATCATACTGTCCCTCACGATCGAATATGGTTTTGGAGTGCAGGCATTATTTCAAATACACAAAAATACAAAATATCCAAAAAATACATTCCGACGTCCCTGTTCAGTTATTTTAAGATAACACATCCAACTTTTTTCTTTTATCTCATTTTCTTTAACATAGGTAATGTTCCCTTTAAAGACAGTATACATGATTTTTGAACCTGCTGAATTTTTGTTGTACTCGACAACTGTATGGTTTTGAAAGAAGGGTAATAAAGCATCGAGAATAAGTGTAAAATATATGGTCAATTATCTAATACCTTTTTATTCTAAAAAAAAAGGTGAAGCCATGAATACAAGTAATAAAACCCAAAGTAAGCGACAAAAAAGAAGCGGCGAAAATCAAATACTTGGATCTGAATCTCTCTGCTCTATCAACCCGAATTTTTTTGTACAGAGGGCTACAAAGCTGCAGCTAAGATTTTTTAAATTGATCATTGTTCTTATCTTAATTCATTTTACTCAAAGATTTTTTAGTATCTGTAGTGAGTAG